AATAAACCTCTTGTTTCATTGATCGTATCTTCTCCTTCAGCAACCCACTTATTCCATCTCGAAATCAGACTTCCATGTTGCATACATTTAACTTAAAATTTCTTCGTTACACGTTTTTTTACCTTTTAGATATGGTTATTCCCGCCAACGGGACATTGATTTCGACACGGAAACCGAGCTCGAAATTGGCCGCGTCGGATGAAGAGAATTCAGATGATATGGAGGATGTTACCATTGGCATGCACATCATCTCCAATCTCTCGGACGCATTTACTGGCGCCGTCAATCGTGCTAGTTCTGCATTCTCAGGGATAATGAGTGAGTTTTGTTGAGGGTGCTTTGTGCAGCGAACCCGTGAGTAGTCCCATGGTATAAGGAATTGTACCGGTGGCTTTCTTTCTATCAAAACTACAGTTTTCTGCAAACTCATTAACAAAAAAGAAATGATAGATGCAGATTGGTAATTTCTGTCTGAATCCCACTGAATCCGAGTGTGAATTAGACCTCAGACAATGTCTGTTTTCACTGAACGGCCGCCCTATCACCGCTCCAACTCGGCATTTTCGGCTCTTCGTCTATCAAAGTAATCGCTTATATCCTCTTTTTGGAAGATGGTCCTGTACGGCCTTTTGGAGGAGGCACTTGGCAGTTTTATTGCACAGCAATTATAGGCTTTGCACTGAGGACTAATTGTACCGAACCAAACTTCCTATAAGTTACCTTTGTGATTATCCGTCGGGTAGTTTAGCTGTGTGTTAACCAGAAGTGGCGCCTCTTTAGGAGTGGTTGTGTTCTTTTTTCCTTTGAAAGTGTACCAAGACAAATGGCTACGATACGACTTAAATTAGAAAAGAAGCAGACGTAATCGCCCGAACAAACACTTTATTCGCCTGACGTTTCGGATTTCGGCTTGAATCTATACCTATGACTTTGATTGGTTCTAACCTTGGTCGTGGATGGTTGACCTTGATGTGATAATTGTTTGGTGATCGTCATTTAAGTCGTTATTCGTCAAAATTTAATTACTTAATTTACAATCAGAAACAATGTTTTCCAACGCGCTCCACACCCAGATAATTCCATTTCATAAACTAGGTCTCAATACTGAATATTGGGGGAAGTTTGCACTTTTTTTATAGACTGGGGACCCATAAACCCTGATTCGCGTAAACCATGACTTGCGCGATTTTCAACTCCCATCAAATTTTCTACCCCGTCTAACCTAAATCTGTGACTGAGTGTCGTTGAGTAAGCTGTGACCTGGGAGCTTGCAAAGGTTATCCGCACTGCTGCAGTGTTTTCAGTCGCTCGCGTCCAGAGCAGTCTTCCACTTTCTCCGCTGTTGTTAATTTCAGCGCGACTGTACCAGATCGGCCTTCTGAAAAAAAAATATGCCTTCCAAATTTTTTTTGACAAAAAATAAGTCGATGTAAATATTTAGCAGGAAATTCCTCTAATCAGCGACTGTGGTTTCCGACAAGTTCAATCACAATATGATGGCTATAGCAGTGCGATCGTCCAAAAGAGCACTTAGGTTGTGGTTTGGCTAATAGCGATTGTGTAGGGGCAGATTTTGGAGGGATAGGGTTTCGTTGTTGTTGGAGTTAAAATAGCCATAGCCATGAATGCGTTGGGTCCACTGGTATGGGTTTCACTCTCGCCGATTTGTGAACCTAACTGAATAGTGGGCAGCATTCCAAATTTCGTAATTCTATCTGGTTTCTTATATTTCAGTGACTTATCATTTAGGCACTGTCACTGCGTACACACCGTTTGACTGTTCTTTATAGAAAAATTAATTGCACCACAAGCAGATGGTATTTATATTACTTCTCGTACCAAACTCTTTTGGAAATTAAATTGAAAGACAGTTGGATATCTTCACACGACGCCCAAAATACGTAATTTAATCGGTTCTGTAAAAATTCCCATTTTACTATTTAATGGTTGTATTGGCAAACCTTTGTTTTCGGTCATTCATCTTCGGGCCGGTACAATGGCATAGGACATAAAACGGTAGTTATGTGCAGTGTTTATATGGTCCTCGAGGTAGGGGGCTGGGTGTTATAAGTCATCTCGTTGTTCCTTCATCTCATGCATGCTGGCGCCAGCATGTTGAAGACGTTAGGTGTGGCGCGCAGGAAAGAAGGGTGAATGTTCTTACGGTCGGTGGTTAGGGTCTGCACGTCAGACGCTCGGCGTGCGTTTGACTACCCTCTGTGACTTCGCGTGGCGTGTGTGTGTGTGTGTGTGTGTGTGTGTGTGTGTGTCATAGCCCATAGTTGGATCAGGAATCCCCGTCGGAGTCCAAACTGGGAGTATTT